ACAACAACAACACCAAAGATATCAACTACTACAGTCTCTGCTACAGTAGGGATTAAGTAGGGTAGAGTAAGCTTTGTCTTAATTCTAATATTCAGTCTTTTGCCAGGCTCTTAGCTCGTTACTACCGCATATGCGGAGCATAAAGTTACGATCAAAATAGATATCAAACCTACATAGTAGGTAGTGTTATTATTTATTCGGAACCCGAAAAGTATAACTTATATGAGCAGATGTGATCACTACCACAAGTAAACGCGAGCTGAAAGCGTGATTGTGTTAGTGTGCCAATTACGTTTGAATGAATTTGCGTTCGCTTTGTTACGTTCTCGCATGTATTTGCATGTGATGCTTACGCTCTTTAAGCAGGCGCTCACTCTCTGTCCATGCTTGTATATGAGCAAATTTGACATCGATATAACTGTTGCCAACTTTGTGCCTTTCGCAAGAAATTAAGTGCGTTTAGGGAATTAAAAGGCGAAAATTATTTAGTTTAGCGCTTGTTTTGTTCTTTGGTGCCCTTTTCAAGGCAATTTTATAATAAAAACGTGATTCTATGGTGACATTGTATTTGACTTACACATATGTTAGTGTTTGGCCGAGCTTCTCCTCTGGATAATATGCTCCAAGATAATCCAAACGCAAAGTTTTCACACAGTCTCTATCACGGAATCCATAGAATATTCTGCTAATTAGCTAGGTGTGCGCATTTGTACAAAAGTAAGCAACGGCATGAAAATAAAGCCTCTAGAAAAACCAAGTTTTGGAAATTGTTTTACGAATAAAAAAACATTTTGCAAATCCAATTTATTAAATTGATTAAGTTGGAAATATTTACAAGTTTCATTGTGTGATTACTTAAAATATTTGAACATACAGCTTTATATGCGAAAATACTATTAAACACAGCAACACAAAATTGGTGTTTTTTTTTGGGGGAAAATTGCGCTATTTTCAGTATTTTGGTGCTTTTTTAAATAAAAAACTTGGCGATCAGGGCTGCCAACTTGGCTCAAACCGTGCCATTTTGGGCACTATTTTACATGAAATGGCACTGAATTTTTCAATTTTGCACAAAGTGCCAAAATGGCACTTTTGAAAAAAAGCCAAATTAAAATACATTTTTGTGAAATCCTTTGCGTGTACTTCTTTTTCTCAACTAAAATTTTCTAATTTCTATAGTGTATACAACTGGTTTATCTTACTTTGACATTGGGCTTTTGTTTTAATTTGTCTAATTTTAATGCTAATGGGAAGAACTAAAGAGAATGACACCTTTTTTGGCACTTTTAATTTTCTATTTGGCACGTTTTAGCACTTTTTTATCCTCAATATGGCACTTCATAGCTATGTATGTTTGGCAGCCCTGTTGGCAAATTTGATCACTAGCTGACCTTCACCGAGCGCTCTTTGCTGGGTTCGGACTACAAAAAAGGAAGTAAATATCAAGTATTTGTAGTAGATGTGCATTTCTTATCTTTATAAAAAACAATTCATTTCTCCTCGTATCCTTGTACAAATAAGGAGCTAAAGCGGCCTTATAAGGATCGATATCTGTAGACTGGAAAATCGACCAGCTAGTGGTTGAGTTGTCATTTACACGGGTCGATTTTGGTTGAACGACAAAAATCTACTAGAAAATCGACCCGTGTAAAGGCGCCTTAATCCAACGAGCAATTATCATTAAAGTTAAAATGCCTTGGTTAATATTAATAAAAAGTTATTTCATTCTTTCTTTACCGGGACAATTGTTACATCGGTGGGCAACGACGCAATTACAGAACTTTAGACAGAGCAATATTTTTCGATCGGGTTCAAATCGGGCGATTGTGAGGATCTATTCACGAATTCAAGTGTATTTGCAAAGTTGCTGATGCTCACCAATGTAACAATCGTGTGGATAAAAAGGTAAAATATAACTTTTAGTTTGCTATTAAAAACCCCACCTCCTTTCTATTTGAAGAGTAAATTTGTTGATGCAACAAAACGGAGCAGATTTTCAGTTGAGCGAAGTAGAGGACTAGGTTTCAAATTTTTTCGACAAATCTACTCCTATCGGAGCGAAGTCCGAACGATGGCTTATTGTGTATATGAGGAAAATATATGCTCTTTGTTTGGTACACAAAGTCAGTATTACCGCAGCCGTACTGCGATGAACATGATGTCGATGGGATATAAATAACTTTTTCGCAACTTTTCATACCCTTCCTCCCGTAAACTGTTTTTCCCTTTCTCCAGCCCGCGCTCGCACTTTCGCTACTGCGCGGGAAAAAAAGTGCCCATGTCTGTCCTAGGCTAAACTTTGATGGACTTGGGCGAGCCTAGGATATTGACCAAAAAATTCCAAATTTTACACAGATTTTTTTAAAGCATAATTAACCATATTTTTGCTATTACCTATCAAAATGCTAAAAAAAAAACGGATTTTCGGCCCACGCTAGTATGCAGGTATCTATAACCGTGCGCAAGTGTTTAAAAAATATACAAGAAATTGACGAAAAATTTAACAATTTTTTAATTATATGGTTGGCATGCGTGGTCGCTATTCGATCTTGCCCATTTTATGAGCAGAAGTTGTTAGTCATTCTAACATAATTTGTGCAAAATTTCATCCCGATATATATCTTATTTCTTAATATAATATTTAAATTACCCTACTAGAGCAGATTGGACCACTGCACGACGACGAGACCGCACACGATGGAACGATGAGAGCTTTACAATAGGGCTATTCGCGATTCGGTGCATAAGAGCTGACAAATGTATGCAATTGCAGAAATATGCCATGGATTGTGAGCGACCTTTATTAAACTGTCATGGTAAAGCTTTTGCAAAACAATTTTTGTGCATCAGCTTTGGTTTTGTTTATGAATGCAATGCATAGCATTTTTATGCTATGGATTTTCGGTATTGCAAATTTGCCAAGCCATGACAAATGCAAATGCGTGTATTTTGTTTGTGTATTGCAAATAATTTGCAATACAAATTTGCAATGCAATGATGCTAGGCCATTTGCACCGGATCGCGAATAGCCCTAATGACATGGACACACTGCAGCGAAAATGCAGCGGCTCCGCTGGCTTGGCCATGTCATTCGAATGAACACCGACGTTCCACTCCGCTGGTGGTAGAAGAGGAAGACGGAGGCCCACCACTGCGATGGGCGATGGAAATACCAAGTGGAGAAGAACTTGGCTTCACTTCGTATATCCAATTGGCGTCACATGAAAGAAACGACTGCATGCTTTGTTGAACTTGGCCAAAATCGCTTAGGCGGTTACAGCGCCAAGTAAGAAGAAGAAAATTTCGAATAAACACTCTAAAAAAAAATTGTGTAGATTTCCTACCTAAAAGGTAGATTACTGATTTCCTACCTTATTATTCGCGAAATTACATGCTCGATTATTCAACGAATAGTTTGTTTAAATTTCGGACTTTTAAGAGTGTAATATAGCTGCTGCGTTGTGCGTAAATTTACTAAGAAAGTTTGTACAAGCTCCAAAATACACATCATCTGTTTGATTTCACCCTTAGAATTGTGTAAAGCCACTAACAAAAAGGATTTTTACACACGAAAATGTGTAATCGAGGAAAATACATATTCATCCTTTAAATTTACCAAAAAAATTTAAAAATAAACAAAAATATACTCGATTTATAGTCGCATTTTTAAACAGATTTTTTAGAGTGTACCTTTCGATTTTCATATCGGTTCTTATTTGCGAATTATTGCGAATTTTGCAAAACTTTCGGTTGCTAAGCTTTGGAAAGCTTTATTTTCGATCACGTTGCGAAAAAAAATGTATGTAAGCGAATATAAACTTGCATAATTAAGAAAAATATAGTTTAGCAGATCTATAAATTTTTACATACATCCGTCCCGGTTCACTTGAATAGGTACACATATTTTCCTCACGATCCCAGCTTATATCTGGACTTGTGGGCATCAGGAAATATCTTTTTGGCCTCATGAAAAAAATTTGCATTTCCTTCAGTTTTATTCCCAACAAATCGCCTGCAAAGTCCTGGATCCATGAAGCCCTCTATTTATACATTTCTTCCAGTTGAAAGTGCGCCAGCTTCGCCCATTCTTGCTGTGTTATAGGTCTGATTATACTTTGAATTCTTTAAAAGGTTTTAAGTGCAATTTTAATAACTTTGCTACACACATAAGGAGGCTACGCATCCTTGTACGTATTCAAGTGAATCAAAAAATTAAACATAATTTTCGTGTTGTTTGATAAAAAGTGGAATAAAATCCAAAGTAATCAAGGTGTCAAGGTCATTTTCACCGCTTTTCTTCGAAATTAATCATTCTTCAAAATGAAGTTAAAAAGAAACTTCTCTGATGCCCACAAGTCTATATATAAGATTGGATCTTAAGGAGAATATGTGTACCTATTCAAGTGAACTGGGCTATAATATCCTCTCGACGAAGACAGGTACATAACATATCGGCACGCCACAAAGGAGAAGGTCGGCCAAACACTAACATATTGTGTACGCGCCAATCTATTATTATTATTATTTGAAATTGATATGATGTAAGTTGTTCAGATTTTGCCCAATATTATTTTAATAAAATTTTAAATTAAAAAAAAACATCTTTGTCTCTTTAAGAATGCATATATAACTAGTAGGCGTAAGCAAATGTATACAAACCTATTATTAAGTTTATACGTAAGGTGTTTGCAAATTTCTGTGTGACGTGGAAAGCTTCTTATTCAATGTTGCCTTTCCACCGAAAAATAAAATAAATCTGAAATGCAACGTCTTGACCCATTTTGCAAATAATCAAATATCAAAACCTATTTGCATGACTTAGTTTTTTTTTCAAATAAAGAAAAATTGCGTTTATTTGATAAAATTTACCATTTTGCAAATTGTTATCTGCAAATAATGAGTGCGCATAAACGTAGAAAATAGTATATTCATGCTTTTCTATTTTTGCAAGCTCATGCCTTTTATATTCGTTTGCATAAATTAATATTTCCCATGTTGATAACAAATATAGTAGGTATCTGAATTTAAGCCCACCGAAATTTTGCAAAACTCGCAAACAGAAACCAATCTGAAAAAATTTACTATAGGAATATGAATGCCGTTTTACCCTTTCTTTGACCATCGACGACCAGTGTAATTTAATAAATAATAAGAATTTTTGCCCCTGGTGGCAAAATGTTCGTAGCACCTAGGGTAAAAGTTAATTTGAAAATTTTATCTTCAGTTTATATGTAGTATTTAGTTTCTATGAGTCTTTATTTTAACAAAACTTGCTTTTTGTGGGAAAAATATGTTTCGCGGTTTAGCGATATGGTAGGTACAAGTGTATTTAATTAATTTAATCCAGAATGTGGTCTGGATAATTGCAAGAAAACATGGAATAAGTAATTATGTATTATATTAAACGAAAGGGCAACCGCAAGTGTCATGCCGTGCGGCAAAAATGTATAAAAGCTTAACCAGACAGTAACTCATTTTCATTAACTACAACAGTTGTTGCCATTAGACGAAAAGTTCCCAGTAGAACTACATAAGCACGTTTGACGAAAAAAAAGGTAAAAATGTACAAAAAAATACTAGGCGCCATAAAGAAGAAAAGAGATCAGAAATCTAGCGATGAGTCCCAGAATCGTGAGTTATATTTTTATAAGAAAAAATCAAAATGAGTGCGGCTACGTCAACTATACCTCGAAAATTTCTCAAAGACACAGATTTTTGAAAAAAGCATATCATTGTTAAGTATGTACTTATAATGCTTATGGTGGCATTCAAACAGTTTGAAAAAATTCTCCAAGTTATGGACTTTTTTATACAAATATATAACAAATATGTTTATCCTTATTATTTTTTTTGGAGAAATTAATTCTTTTATCATGCGATGAGTGAAATTTTCAGTACAAATATAACGAGTTTACGTGCGGATATCTCGTCGGCTTAGCCTCGAAGGAGTATTCGTATAATAAAACAGGTCAAAAGTCAAATGGGCCTGGTGGTAAACGAGGACAAGACGAAGTATACCCTGTTATCAAGCAAACAGTCAGCGAATTAGCGCCTTGGCACCCACGTTATAATTTCGAGAAAGTAGAGAGTCAGCGCATTCGCACCTCTCGAATCCTCTCTCGACGTATGAAAACCACGCTCTATAAGTCATTATCATCCCCGTGCTGGTATATGGCGCAGAAGCAAGGACAATAACATCCGATGTGGCGACTCTTGGAGTATTCGAGACAAAGATTTTGCGCAAGATTTACGGGCCTTTACGCGCTGGCGACAGCGAGTACCGCAGACGATAAGATGTATGAGCTTTACAAGGACATGGGCATAGTGCAACGAGAATACAACGGCTCCGCTGGCTTGGCCATGTCGTTCGAATGGACACCGACGCTCCAGCTCCGAAAGTATTCAACTCGGAACCCGCTGGTGGTAGCAGAGGAGAGGGAGGTCCTCAATGCGATGAAAAGACCGATTGGAGAAGGACTTGGATTCACTTGGCTTGCCTTGTTGAACTCGGCCAAAATCGCTTAGGCGGCTACAGCGCCAAATAAGGAGATGTGACCGAGCTATCAATGGACAGCCATACAAGTTCCCACTTCCACTTGATCTTTGACGTACGTCAAAGAGAACATAGTCCTTTTTATGATTTTTTTCCTGCGATTTAAATAGCTTGATTTTTGTTTCTTTCTTTATCATGTTTTTTGTGGACATGTAAGAAGTGTGTACTAAAATTTTAAACCCCATTTAGTGATTTTATTTTGAAGTTATATTCGTTTCAGTCATTTCAAATGAGGCCTTTGGGATATTTATATTTAGCAAAAATTTCAAAAAATACAATTTTTGTTCACTTGCTTTTTCCATAGGGATATACAAACATTGGATCCTTGGCTACAAACTTCTGTTATAAAACTGTCACTCTGCGTCCCCCTTCATCTGCTATTTGCGGACGAAGTGTAATATCTTTCAAAAGGGATTTAAAGCAGAAATATTCGACGTGTAGTTAAATATAAAGAGAGATGCTCAAATAATTAAAAAGCTGTAGGTCTGATTAATTAAATAAGAATTAGGTAACGATCGAATGTTATTTGTCGAAGATCTGTTGAAAAAATAAACTATTTTTTCTACTTTTTCTAAGATAAGCATAATTAGTATTTTTTCTCATAAAACGCTTAACTATGATTAAGTTCCGTGTTTTCTTTTATTACCTAGCAGAAAAGCACACCAAATAATTTTGACTGGTTTTACTATGCAAATACTCCTCTATGCGGCACTAAGGAAGCAACATGCTGCTTAGTAACTTGAAGGTGAATTTGATTTTTTGTATGGAAGAATGCAACATCGCATGACATAAATAGGATTATTTTCGATACTAATGATAGGGACAAACATCTATTTACAGATTATTAAAGGTAATGCATTGGCGCATATTTGCGTAACTGCCTTTTCATACAAAGTAATAAAAGTAGTAAAAAATAACAATTATTTAGAAGAAGTAGGCCTTGTTGCTTTTGTATGATGATGTGTAAATATTTATCTACAAGAGTTCAATGTTTTGTAGTTTAAAAGAAACTAATTTTTTAATTTTGTCATACTTTAAAATATAACTATCAATAATTTGGACAAATAGTAAAAGAATTTTTCAAAATATTTGAATGCGAATATACGGAGTATAAGTACTTTACTTGCCGAAATTTTCGGGTGCAGTTCACGTGGCCGCACTCAAAGAACATTTGTAGTTAGATGCTCATTATTGTTTGTTGTTTTCTTTTTTAGATAAAATGATGAGAGTGAAAACTAAAGCAAAATCTTGTAAATGCGTTCCTCAAAGCTGTAAATGCAAGTTTGGAAACGCAGTTAAATTGTTAACAAAACAACGTTATCGCAACTTTTCTAGTGGCATTCTAGTTTAAGTGTTTACGTGCTTCACCATTAAAAAATTATAAATAATAAAATACTTCTTGCATGAATTGCGTTTGATAAAATTACCTTGGCTTTGATGGTAATTCCAGTGTACAAGAGCCTAAAAATACGTAGTATATGTATATGTATGTATGTTGTATATTATTTTACTACATGAGTACATACATACATACGTACATACATAAGTACAAATATTGTAACTGCTTAAGAAAATTATTTATTTTTAGCCGTCGCCCAACTGTTTGTGAAACGTCTTATTTTGTTGCCACAGATAAGATAACAATCTCTTTTTAATGAAGTTTCTTGATATCTCAAAACATTTTTTTTTAATTTTTATCATTTACTCTACATAGGTATATGGGTAATTCCTGCAAAGAGTCAACCAAAAGCAAAAAAAAGTAATTTTTAAGCAAAAAACCAAAACCGACTTCAATTCCCATATACAAATTTAAAATTTCCGTTATTTCTTCATGATCCAATGATCGGATCTAACCAAATTAGTACGGGACCACCTCTGAGGTGGCACCTTTAAAAAAAAAATTATAGAAATCGGTTAGGTCCTAAGTTATGCGGTAACATACTTAAAAAATATTCCGAATAATTGATAACCTCCTTCTTTTTTTAAGTCGGTCAAAAAATAAAAGTACACCTTGATAATGCCAATCGATAGCTACATATTTCGTCTTTCTTTTGGGGGTTTAAACCTTCCCCCACCCTGTTAGAGGGAAATATGCATACAAATTTGCTACCATTTAGTTTACGATAATAATGGTAAAAAATATTGTAATATCTCTGTAAAACTTGTTTATTGAGGTAGCCTAATGGTGACAACATTGTTTTTCCTTGCAATTAGGGGAACGAAGGGTATTGTGGACAGCCATAAGTCAAGATTTATCCTGAAAATGAAGATTTTTTGGGCTGTTTTTTATTAAAAGTTTTCAAAAGAAGATTTTTTAAAAAGCAAAATTTTACACTGAAAATATCTTCAAAATGAAAATTTTTGTGTATGATGATATATGTATATGTGATATTTAAGTTAAAATTGTTAACTTATTTATATTATCCTTGCTACATTATTGTTAGCAGCAAATTAAGGAAGAAGAATGTATCCCGTCTAGTTTAAATGACAACAATGGAAAATTTCAAGTTAACTGCTATTTAAGAAACATTTGCTGATGGGTTTACATGAATAAATGTATAATGAGAAAAAAAGGGGCGGTAAATTTATAAAACACATCCATGTTAACATATCAATTAATCGAATTAAAAAGCTCAAAATTGTTATGGAACTTTGTGTCATGGTTTTTGATTGATAATGAGCTATTCTTTCATAAAAAAAAAACAAGTAATTTTTAAACAAAAACCACAAGCGACTTCAATTCTCATATAAAAGTTGATTGTCAATTTCTTCATGATCCAATGGCCGTATCTAAACCAAATTAGTATGGGACCACCCTTTCCGATAAAAAGGAGTTATCGAAATCAGTTCAAGTAGTACAAAGTCAAGAATGATAGAATACAAGATTGCGCCGATCAGAGAGGATTTTTGAGAATAACTTTTGTGTGACGTCACACTGGTGCAATTGCGGGAGAGAAATGCCAGAACGTGAGCAAGAATGGAAGAAGAAGAAAAATGTTGCAAGGAAAACGTAAACAAGTTGCACAAGTGTGACGTCATGCAAACAACGATTCTGTCAAATTCGTTAAGAGAGGAATAGCGGTCCGAGATCGGCGCAACCTTTGTATTCTCTCAATCGTGGTACAAAGTTATACGGTAACATATATACATAAAAAAATATTCGCACGAATTGATAAACTCCTCCTTTTTTGAAGTCGGTCAAAACTTGCAAAATGTCGCGTCCCTATTTATATTTTCGCCAGCATATATATACATATGTTAACTGTGCTACAAATTTTGTGATGATACGAGGCTATATTCATTTTAAGTTTAAGTTGTTATAAAAAGGACTTTATAACTTGAAATTGGTAATTTTTTCAAGCAACATAATAAGGGCTGTAAAGACAATATCGAATTTTGTGTTTCTTTTTAGGTATTTTTAAATGAAGATTTTTTGGGATCGAAAAGATTCTTTTAAGCTTTAAAATCTTATTTTGAAGATTTTTTGGAAAAAATTAAGATTTTTAGGGGACTTTCTCGGGCAACTCTGATTGCGGATTCAGCGGCTATTTAAAAAAAAAACGAGAATCATTTAAAATAGCGATTCAAGCAAAAATTAACTCTGTGAAGGGAAACCAATAAATATATAAAAAAAATGTCTGTCAAATATTGTGTTGAAAAGATATTATATGTAGTGGAGTTGGATTTTTTAGTTTGCTTTGAAGATTAATTCACTTCTAGTTCGTTCAGCTCCATAAACTAGCTTTTATGAGTCTTAGTGCGTTCACCTTATTGAACTTTGGTTGACATAATTGAACTCGATTGATAGTATTTAGGAGCTGATCCTGCAGTAAAATTTGGAGACAGTCTGGCAAAGCGCTAGTTCCGAGATACATATTTCAGAACTATCTCTAAACTAGAGCAAAACGACTGCAGAGCGGGGCAGTTGAAACTTGCGGTGTAAGTGTACAAATTCTACTTCTTGTACAATATGAAAGTAGCTCATCGAGAAGACCTCCGACTCAAGCATTGTTGGTGGCGAGTTCAAATCGCGGTGGAGGTAGTTGTATTTTCAGATTCAATGAATTTAAATTGCTGCGTGCCGCTTACAATAATTTTTTTTGTATGAAATAGATATGTAACAAACATGGAATCTGTAAAAGAAAAGAAGAAACGGAAAAAGTATCCAAAAATCGAATCTTCAAAACGTTTTCTTATAAAACGAACTGTCCAAAACGGAACCGGTTAAAAACTAATTGCAAAGTAATGCACTGGGCGACAATTGCCACTGCCAATGACATCGCCGTGTAGGGATGGCAAAAAAAAAAACAATTAATTAATCACATGATTAATCAGAAGTCAAAAAAAAAAACAAATTGAAAAATAATCGATTAATCGAAGGCACTTTTTACTGTGAATATTCACAAAAACACTTTTCCATAAAAAATCTCTAATTCTCTTGTTAATTAGCCTTAAATAAAATAAAACGAGTATTTTTAGCGGCGAAAATTATTTATTATTCAACCAAGTTTGCAAAAAATAAGCTTTGATAAGCGTTTTGTTGTTAAGCGGTTGCGTTTCTCGGTGGCTGTAGCACCAGCTTTGAAAAAAGGCGCTCAGCAGACACCGAGGTACCAACTAAATGACAGTATTTTTTCGAAAGTCCGTAAAGTTTTGGGTAAACAGTATTCATTTCCTCCCAAGCGTTAATGATATTCAGCTTTAGTTCTAGGACTTGACAATTTAAATAGAAACTCATTTCATCTTGTGGGTGACCCAAAACATCATCTTTTCGCCTTCGTTTGTGTACAAGAGATTTATGAGGAGCACAAAGATCGAACTCATTTACTACTGATTCTACACTGAGGGGAAACAATAGTAAAATCAAACGGAAACGTAATTGATCTTACTATAAACGTCAATGAAAGTATTGTATAGTGGAAAATATTCGTTCGTTTTGCACTTCACGGATGCTTGTTCATAATTAAGATAAAAACATGCATGTTGCCTGCAATGGAATTCGAACCCTGACCCTCTGGAAATCAACAAATTGTGGAAAGCATCTTCGCGCACTCAGCTACAGCCAGAGCTCGGCATGCTTGGTATACATACCCTGCAAAAAATGCGACCAATCCGGGATGACTCCGGGAGCAATCGCAAAGGAACATGCGACTAATACCACTTTTGATCTCTTTATATGGGGTGAACTATCCGCTTTTGTTCCAGCATGTCCTATGAACAGACTTATTGTTTTCCACTTAGTCACTTATATATCATGAACCAATTTAACAAACTGAAAATGGAATACGACAAATGAAAGCTAACAAAATTTTCCATAAACCGTGTACTAATTAATTATTCCAGTTTTTTTTTCCTTTTTATGAAAAAAATTAAAAATCAAATTTTAACAGGAGAAAAATTAAAAAACTAAGCGGTTCTGTGTCAAATTTTTGTAGTTGTGCTTAAGCCTGTTATCTTACTAAAAAATCAAGCTACTATTGAAGCAAATCGATGAATAAATAAGAAGTAATGAGTGGTCAAATGGAAACGCGCAAAGATTTTTTGTATGAGAAATGAGCAGGATATAATGTTACTCATACGCCATGTACACCTAAGTAGCACGCTTTTATGCTCATATTTCATACATAAAATGTTTGCGCATTTTCATTTGACCACTCATTACTTTTTTATTTATCCATCGATTTTCTTTATTAGTAACTGGATTTTTTTGTAACAGAACAGGCATTAGCACAAAGGCAAAAATTTGACAAAGAACCTGTTATTTTGTAAATTTTTCATATTTTCATAAAAAAAAAAATAAAAAATCTGGAATGATTAATTAATTTGTCAGAAACTATCAGACCTATCGAAAAGTGATGTATATACGGTCTATGTAGCATTTTGTTAGCTTTCATTTGCCGTAATCAAATTAAGATTGTTAAATTGGTTCGTAAGATATACGTGATTAAGTGTAACCACTTTTTGTTTTAAGCTGAATAACGGTAAATTGAAAATATCTGGAAAACTTATCCATAGAATAAAAAATTAGGTAGATTTTCGAGCAATTCTATATAGGAATTGGATAGTGGCATCCATTGAACATTTTTGCTGTAAACCAGTGTTATTTAAGTTCGCAAGAACTTTATTACTCAGGTCAATGCAAACGGATCTTTCAAATGAATTTTTTTGAACCTCGGGTCGAGTAAAGTTGATGCAGCTAGCAAAAAAGAATGTTCGATAGATGGATTTTAGACAACTACAGAATTCATATTTCTTGAAAATATTTTTACGATTATTTTACAATGAATCGATTAATGAAACACAAAACTACGATTAAATCGTAAATTAGACAAAAATAATCGATTAATTTCATCAAATGATTATTCGCTGCCACACCTATCGCCGTGTAAAACTGGACAGTTGGTAGGTATTGAGCTAGAAC